AACATTTTTGGTGTCTCAGCGGTTATTTTCGCCTTGCCCTTGCGAGCTTAAGAAATATCTGGTATCGAATCCAGTTGCCACCGGCAATAAAATTGTTTATTATGCACGAGCAACTTTAAAGTCTGAGAAAAACTACTACAGTTACCAGCTGGATGTTCTAGCCGTCGTTACGTATTACATTTATGGTTTGAGAGTATGAGAATAAAAGTTATTATTGATTGTAATGCCTTAAAAACGTCGATAAAGAAACGAGAGCTTTTACCCCACACTTCAAGAGTTAGACAAACATTGTTCATCGAGCTGAAACACATATAAACCAGGTAGACGCGCTTAGTCGAGTTCACTTCGAATGCGAAACCTTGTTAAAAGCTACATAAAGTCAGGAGAAGGTTGTGAACTATTTAAAGTACCAGATGGACATCAGGAATATGAGTATTATTATGATGACCAGGACCGAATGCAATCCAAAGCCAGGATCAGATGCAGAATTGGAACAGCTTACACTAGATGCCACTACAGTCAGTGATCATCGAGCTGCTGCCAAGCATTCCAAGGCATCCATATATTGCCTTGATGATCTTGTTTTGATTAAGCTATTTGCTTAATACATCCCGCGAGTGTAAAAAAATTTAACAAAAAATGTACCTTCTCGTGGTAGTCGATAGCTCCTGACAATAGTAAAAAAGAATTTTGATATTATTGACTTCGCTGAAAACCTCGGGACCACCACCATTCTGCTGTTCTTCTCTGTCTTTTCGAACAGCCACAGCTCTAGAATCCAACACTATTTCTTTTATTAAAAAAACTCATATCGAGCTCTACAGAAATTTCTTGTGAGGCAAGGAAGTAACTTTCCAAATATCAATTAAAATCCGACTTACCATTAAAATCCTAAAATGGCTACACTGACTGCCGTATACAAGTTAACAACTAAAAATGGAAGCATATCAGTTTACACTAATCCGACAAATTTTCACCTTTTTTGGTCTTAAATTAGTGTATTAATTCCGAAAAAGAAAAGTTTCTCACACTTAAAAAGGCGAAAACATAGAGAAGCAAAAAAGACCTATTCAATAAAGGACGGGAATTTTTTAACTTCCGCTCACCCCATCGACTCTAGCAAGGACCCAATTGCTTGCTTCTTTTTGGTTGTGGCACTTATCAATGACCTCTTATTAATGATTTCGACTACATCAAATCCTTGAAGTAGAGGCTTGTTCCGGTTTTTTATAAAATTAAAAAATTGAAACACGACACTGGCAGCACTCATACAAAAAAAATAGTCCTTATTATTTTAAATTCTCCATAAGACTTTATTTTTGTATACGTCCAAGAAAAAATTAAGAACTTTCTTTTCTAAAAACAAGGCAATTTTTCCCGGATGAAGAAAATTGTTCCCAAATGTGTAAATTTCGTACCTTTTTCTTAAAAATAGAAAGACTGCCCCAAAAAGTAACTTATCTTACAAAATTGAAATATGTTCTTTAATATAGTAATATTTCTCTTAAAATACTTTGCGTAACCCAATGATTAAGGTAACCCTTGAAAAATAAATATATTTTTATACCCTTGCAGAGGGTATTATAATTTCAGTCAAATGTTTGCAACGCAGTGAAGGAGACATTTCCGACCCTATAAAGTATATATATTCTTGATCAGCATCACCACGAGAGTCGATCTAGCCATGTCCGTCTGTCCGTCTGTCCGTCCGTCCGTCCGTCTGTCCGTCCGTCTGTCCGTCCGTCCGTCTGTCCGTCCGTCTGTCCGTCCGTCCGTCCGTCCGTCTGTCCGTCCGTCTGTCCGTCCGTCTGTCCGTCCGTCTGTCCGTCCGTCAGTCCGTCCGTCCGTTTCTACGCAAACTAGTCCATCAGTTTTAAAGCTATCTGCTTGAAACTTTCCCAAAAGTTGTTTTTCTATTGCAGGTAGTATATAAGTCGGAACGAGCCGAATCGGGCGACTATATCATATAGCTGCCATATAACTGAACGATCGGATAAGCCATAACTTTGGTGTTTGTAAAGTTAAGAAGTTGGGATTTTCTATGGGTTTTATTTTTGGCCAATCAATCCGACATACAAAATTTCATAATGATCGGCCGACTATATCTTATAGCTGTCATATAACTGAACGATTGAAAATGCCATAACTTTGGTGTTTTCAAAGTTAGGAAATTGGGACTTTTTATGAGTATTAAGAATGCATCAAATGAATAATTTTGAAGAATATAATTTACAAAATATTCTGCAAGGGTATATCAACTTCGGTTCCGTCCGAAGTTAGCTTTCCTTTCTTGTTATACCCGTTCCTCGTAGAGTAAAAGGGTATATTGTATTCGTGCAAAAGTATGTAACAGCTAGAAGGAAGCGTTTCCGACCCTATAAAGTATATATATTCTTGATCAGGGTCACTAGCCGAGTCGATATAGCCATGTCCGTCTGTCCGTCTGTCCGTCTGTCTGTCTGTCTGTCCGTATGAACGCTGAGATCTCGGAAACTATAAAAGCTAGAAGATTGGCATTTTGCATGCAGATTCTAGGAGTTCCTACGCAGCGCAAGTTTGTTTCAAAAAGGTGCCACGCCCCCTTTAACGCCCACAATCGCTTATATACAATTTTAAAAATTTAAATATTTCGGAAAAGTAAAAATGCAGTTTTATTGTGTTTATCAATACCTTTCGAAATGTAGAAGAAATTTTTCAAATCGGACCATTCGTTAAAAAGTTATGCGTGATCAAAGTTTCTATCTCCATCTCCCTCGCACTCCCTTTACCTGAGTAACGGGTATCTGATAGTCGGGGCACCCGACTATAGCGTTCTCTCTTGTTTTTTAAATACATATAACACATTTCTAAAATATCACACCCAGACCCTAAAATTAATCTAAATTTCTACTGCCGTCGATCCAACATTTTTAATTTACTTATTTTTCATGTGTCATAAACACACTTGCAAAGTAATGTATTGCTTGACTAAAAGTTTAAAATTGCTTAAAAAGTAATTACAATATTTTGTCATTTAAAAAATCATCTACGAAAATAATTTTCAAATATTTCGGCTGTCTGAACCATAGACATTCAAAAAATAAAAATTTGACAGAATTTCTGGAATTATTAAAGACAAAATAGGGTGATTTAACGGTTAATTTGGTTATAAGTGCAGTTTTCACTGGGCAATAACTGTTGAAGTATGGAAAAAAAGTTTTTTTTGGGAGTTTCAAATGCAAATTAAAATATGAATATCGTTCATAGAGGATTATTAGATCCGGGATTTGTAAAAATTTCAAAAGGAAACACCTACCTTAAGAGATTATTAACGGATTTCTTGGTCGGCATCTAAACAGAGCAGTTCAAGGCTTCATACCGTATATACCATATCCGTCTAACAATTGTTAACCCCTCGTATCAAAATAAAAACAAGAATGAATTGATGCATAACTTTTGTTTTAGAGTTTGCAGTGTAAAAAGGCAATTGAATAAGAGATACTTACCAATTGCAAAATTAAATATATATTCACTTTTCCTTTGGGTTTTTCACTAATGCCGTGCTCAGTAAGTAAGTTTGACCGCGGTATGTCCATAGCACGCAAAATTTTAAGATTTTAAGCCATTTTTCGGCTTGGACAGACACGATGTTAAACTTATTAAGCTGTACGCCGACGAAAATGTGAAAGCTCAGATTTGATATTCAATAATCAATATTGTAGCTCGGAGGGCCATGCCCATATCCATTTTTGGTTTCAGTTGCTCGTGCATGACTTTTGCATTCTCGTCTGTGCTAAACAAAATTGGCTGATTCTCATTTTCAGAGCGGATTGGCGGCAATAAATTTCGTAGATGTAAGGCCAATATTTCAACTCTGTTTTCGTTGTTTCGGTTACAGTTCCCGACAAGTTTCTTAGAGGAATGACCATTTCGATCGAAGAGCATAGATTTGTGTAAGTTTTTCAATATACTGGCGTTGCGCGTTTACTTAATTTTTTAAAATTAGCAATCGTCTTTTTCTTAACTTGCTGATTGAATGTGTATTGGTGGATCTGCTCATATGTTCCTTGTGGTTTTTAGATCTTCGCTGATTTTTCAGAGCATTATCAGATCACTCGATGTCGGCCTTGATGTTGAGATATGGGGACAGTTCAATTCTGATTTTTAATAAGATGATATTGTTCCAGTGCCAATACAAACAGTGTGGTTAGAAGCACAGTCTTTTTGTTGATTCGAGTCGCAGTGACTGTTGCAGTATTGGTTCCTATTGCTACGCTGCTCAGCGACTATTCGCTAAAAATTTTACAAATAATGGCCCTTTATCGACTTTTTACGTCGTTGTAGTAGTGCCGAGTGATTGCCTCCTGGCTAGGCACGTGTGGTGAAGGTCGTAATCATTCCTGGTGTGTCAATAGTCATGACAATTGGTGCCTTCACTGTACCTTGGTGACCAGCTCACCAATTTGGTTGCCTAAGGGGCTCGAGTTCTTTTTCCTTATCTATATGGGTGTGAATTTTGGTTTCTTTTGGACCTATTGTCCAGGTTCGGGTTAATTACTTTCATTACTCGCCAAACAGGAATATATATTTGTTTGAATTATTAAATCAGTTAGTCTTAGGTGTATTTTATTTTATAAGCAATGTTTTTTGATGTAGCGACTGATGTGAATCACTGATATGACTGATGAAGTCACTGGAACCCTCAATTGGTGTTGTAATTTTGTTTAGCGCTTATGCTGATCTGGTCGCAGGGACCGTTGCAGTAGATGTTGCTGCGTTTTATTTATTGGACAGATTAATTTAAATATTTTTAGTGACTATTGACTAACAATTAACTATTAAATTGTCATACTTTAGGGTCTTATAGCAATCAACAAAGTAAAACTAAATAAGTGAACAAATAATAAAAAAATATTGTTATATAAAAGCTAATGCATATGATAGTTTTGATAAAACACTAATGACATTTGGAGTCGTACGAATCAAAATTTTAAGAGAAAAACATGCTTAACTTATTTTAGATAGACATGGTTGACGATGATGAACGCCGTTGGCGTCACTTTAATCCGGAGATACCAAAACGATCTGGAAAAATTGGTGAACTTGAAAAATTTGATGCAACTTTTTTTGGAGTCCATTTTAAACAGGCGCACACAATGGATCCCCAAACAAGAATTCTTATTGAGACGGCTTATGAAGCTGTAATAGACTCAGGAGTAAATCCAAAAAGTCTACGTGGATCAAAAACCGGAGTATATATCGGTTCCTGTATATCTGAATCGGAAAAAACTTGGTTCTACGAAAAAGTTTCTTCTGGCGGGTTTGGAATCACTGGCTGTAGTCGGGCTATGATGGCGAATAGAATTTCATATTCTTTGGGACTAGAGGGTCCTTCATTTTTACTAGATACGGCTTGTTCCAGTTCGATGTACGCTTTAGACAATGCCTTCACCGCTATTCGAAATGGAGAGATTGATGCAGCAATTATAGGTGGTTCAAACTTACTACTTCATCCATTTGTAACACTTCAGTTTGCACGGTAAGCCAGAAATACCTTTATTTGTAGCCAGTAACCATTAACCTTAATTAATATTTTAGACTTGGAGTACTGGCACCTGATGGGTTTTGTCGCCCTTTTGATAAAAATGCTAGTGGTTATACCAGGTCAGAGACTATTAATTGCCTTTTCTTGCAAAGAAAAAAAGATGCTAAGAGAGTTTATGCAAGTGTAGTTTACTCAAAAACTAACTGCGATGGATATAAGCCGGAAGGTATAACTTATCCGTCTGGTATAGTCCAGGAGAAGTTACTTGACCAGTTTTACAAAGACATTGACCATAAACCAAGTGACTTGGGGTACTTGGAAGCTCACAGTACTGGAACTGTGGTTGGTGATCCAGAAGAGTGCAAAGCTATTGATAATGTTTTATGCAGTCAAAGGCAGGAGCCACTATTGGTTGGTTCAGTAAAGTCAAATGTTGGGCATTCCGAGGCGGCTTCTGGAATATGTTCTTTAGTAAAAGCTTGTTTCGCTTTTGAGACCGGACTAATTGCACCAAATATAAATTTTACGGAGGTTAAACATGGAATTGCACCCTTAGCAGAGGGACGGTTGATTGTTGTAAAAGACGTTACTCAATTACCAAAGCCTTATATTGGAATAAACTCTTTTGGATTTGGTGGAGCCAATGCGCATGCGCTTTTAAAGGGCTATCCAAAGTCGAAAATAAATTTTGGATTACCACAAGATGAAGTTCCGCGGCTACTTACATGGGCAGGAAGGACGGAAGAGGCCGTTGAAGAGATTTTTAAAGCTGTAGAGAAAAACCCGTTAGATGCTGAGTTTATTGGATTGCTTCAAAACATTCAAGAGGAAGATGTTTCCGGTATGGTATTTAGGGGCTATGCAGTATTTTCAAAAGAAGGTGTGAAATCATGTAAATCATTGACAAAAGATATTCAGCATTACACTGGCCTCCAGCGTCCGATCGTCTGGGTTTATAGCGGAATGGGGTCACAATGGTCCGAGATGGGGGCATCACTTATGATAATACCTCGATTCCGCGAATCAATTGAAATATGTCACCAGACGTTGCTGTCGAAAGGCCTTAATCTTATACATATATTAACATCCAATGACCCGGAAATTTACCAAAATATTTTACATTCGTTCGTGGGAATAGCCGCTGTGCAAATAGGCCTAACAGATGTCTTGCGCTCTCTTAATTTTGAGCCAGACTTTATTATTGGCCACTCTGTTGGTGAATTAGGTTGCGCATATGCTGATGGTGGGCTGACTCCTCAACAAATGATATTGGCTGCCTATTATCGTGGAAGAGTAAGTGTGGACCTAGAAAAAATAAGGGGTTCAATGGCAGCAATAGGTATTGGATATAATACTATTGTACACATGCTGCCTAAGTCCATCGAAGTAGCTTGTCATAATGGCCCGGATTCTTGTACAATATCTGGACCAATCGATGAAGTTTCCCTCTTTGTATCTGAACTAAAAACGAAAGGCATTTTCGCAAAGGAAGTGCCTTGTTCAAATATTGCTTATCACTCAAAATATATTGCACACATGGGGCCTCCATTACTGCAATATATGAAAGAAATTATCCCAAATCCTAAGACTAGAAGTATAAAGTGGTTAAGTACTAGTATTCCCAAAAATGACTGGGATAAAGATCAAGGAAAAATGTGCTCTGCAGAGTATCATACCAACAATCTCTTAAACAGTGTACTTTTTAATGAAACATTTTCATTGCTACCTAAAAATTCCTTGACTATTGAAATCGCGCCTCATGGACTTTTAGGAGCTATTCTTAAACGATCAATGCCCAGTGGTGTACATATTCCACTAACAAACAGGGGTAATAAAAACAATACGTTGTTTTTCTTATCGGCTCTTGGAAAGTATGTATAGTTTAAGTCCTTGTTCGTTAATTATTGTTATAGCTTTGTTTTATTGTAGAATTTATCAAAATGGTGTATTACTACCGGTCGCTAACCTATATGAAACCATCCAATTCCCTGTTTCGCGAGCAACGCCTAGTGTTAGCTCGCTTATTCGCTGGGATCATAGTGAAGACTGGTTCGTGACAAAATACGAGAATATGAAAACAAAGTCCAGTGGCGAGCGTGTTTTTCCAGTTAATTTGGCTAGTGATAATGAAGAATTTTTGAGTGGACATATTATAGATGGCAAAATTCTAGTGCCAGCTACATGTTATCTTCAATATGTTTGGGAAACATTTTCCCTTATGTACCATGGTCCGAGTTATATGGACGTACCCGTTGAATTCGAAGATATACGTTTCTTAAGAGCTACAAGTATGCCCGTTAATGGAAAAGTCGATTTAACTGTTATGATTCACTATGGCACCGGTCATTTTGAGGTAAGGACATTTTAAAGTGGATTTAAGTTAAAAAAATTATTTATTGCTTTTTAGATAACGGAAGCAGGTAATTTAGTTGTCACCGGTATCATCCGTGAAACGGCAAACCCCACTATTCCAGAAGTTTATAATTTTGAAAATGAATCTAAGTTTCCAATGATTTCCAAAAAAGACTTTTATAAAGAGTTAAGATTACGAGGCTATCATTACAATGGCGCATTTAAGGCCGTTCATATGGCCCGTTCAGATGGTTTATTCGGAAAAGTTGAGTGGAATTATAATTGGGTAACCTTCATGGATGCAATGCTTCAAATTCAAATACTGGGAACAGATTCACGAAATCTTTTATTACCAACAAAAATTCGAAAATTGAAAATAAATGGAGTGCATCATTTCAACCTAATGACCAAAATGAATCCAGAGAATCGCTTTTTTGATGTCTATATAGATCAAATGTACGATCGGATCATAGCAGGTGGAATAGAACTTGTCGGATTACATGCCAGTCCAGTGCAAAGGCGAAGACCTCCGGGTATCCCAGTTCTTGAAGAATATGTATTTCTTCCCTTTTTTCCGTCACCAATGCTTTCAATAAAAAATGCTGCTCGTATTTGCGTTCAAATCGCTCTTGAAAATAATCCTTCTTTAAAAATGAAGTTGGTAGAGGTTGATTCTAATGGAGAAAAACCACTGCTAACATCATTTTTAGAATCTATAGAAGATTTACCTGTCATTACTGGAGAGTACATTCTATTGACATCCCACAAACTGGATGACTTTCCAGGACTTCGTGTTGAAAACGGAAGCTTGTCTTGTCAATCAAATTGTCACTTTGTTTTATTAAAAGACCTTGATGAAGAACATTTACGAGATAATATTGAAACTGCCCATAAGGTACTCGTTGACATTGGGTATATGTTGCTTAGACTAAAGTCTAAGACGAATCTTTCAGCATTGGAAGAATCGGAGCTATTCCGAACTATTACAATAATTCCGATTGATAACAAAGAGGATATATTTGTATTATTACAGAAAATTTCAAAAAAACTAACAGTACAACCAGTTTTGGTAAAGGTATCTGAAATCGATGAGACTTTTGACTGGATTGCAGAATTACAATCTGCAATAAGCACGAAAACACCGGTTATTGTGTATTCATTTAACGAGAGCTTGAATGGGCTTATAGGTTTAGTTAACTGTTTGCGAAAAGAGCCCGACGGTAATTTGATAAGATGTTTCTTTATTGATGATCAAAATGCTCCTAGTTTTGATTTATCACACCCTCTATATTCGGCTCAGCTTGCATTGGGATTGGCGTTCAACATATATCGCAATGTAAGACTTATTTTGTATATATTCACCATTCATTTTTATATTTCACTTTTATTAATTAGGGTTCTTGGGGCAGCTATAGACATTTGCAATTGCTCAAAAGTGACAACCCAATGGCCAGATTGGATCACATATATGGAAACGTCATTCAACGTGGTGACTTATCGACTTTACAATGGCTAAAAGGACCTTTTCAAGCTAAAAGCTGCTTGATTAAAATATCATATTCTTCTCTAAATTTTAGAGATGTAATGCTCGCAACTGGACGCTTAGCCGTTGAATTATATGGATCAAGTCGAATAGATCAAAACTGTGTTCTGGGCTTTGAATATTCCGGCATTAACATGGCAACTGGACGTCGGATAATGAGTATGGTGGTTAAAGGTGGCGTAGCCTCCTATGTGGAGAGGCCATCAAAACTAATTTGGGATATACCTGATCACTGGTCATTAGAAGAAGCAGCAACAGTGCCTGTGGTATACATAACTGTCTACTATGCATTCTTTATGACATGCGATATTCGAAAAGGGAAAAGCATTCTCATACATGCTGGTACCGGGGGCATTGGTCTGGCCGCTATTCGTGTGGCATTGGCCTATAACCTAGAAGTTTTTACAACTTGCAGCTCTCTTCAAAAAAAGAAATTTTTGTTAGAGACTTTTCCCCAACTTAAAGGTATATTAAACAAATTTTAAATAACATTTTAATTTATTTCAAATTACATTATATTACGATTTTCAGAATCGAACATTGGAAATTCTCGGGATACATCATTTGAGCTTATGGTGCAGCGTGAGACAAATGGAAAAGGTGTTGATTTTGTGTTGAATTCCTTATCAGAAGAAAAGTTGATTGCGTCAGTACGTTGTCTTGGTAAGTCCGGACACTTTTTGGAAATTGGAAAATTTGACATGGCTAACGACAACAAGATTGGATTGGGATGCTTTTTAAAAGAAATTACTTTCCATGCTGTTCTTGCGGATAGTCTTCTTGTGGCTCCTGATGAAGATATTTGGGTAATAGGGTAGTATAATATCCTAAAAACAAATTAAATTTACAAATTTATTATCTGTTTATAGCATTTGAAAACCCTTATTGATTCAGATATTTCGAATGGAATTATTCAACCATTACCGGTTAAAGTGTTTTCGGCTCATGAAATCGAAAAGGCTTTTAGACATTTGATCGGTGGCAAGCACATTGGAAAAGTTGTTATTCAAGTTCGTGAACACCCGGATGATCCAGCTACTTTACCTGTACGGGTGCTTAGTCAAATTTACTTTAAGCATAATCTTACATATGTCATCATTGGTGGCTTGGGAGGCTTTGGAATGGAACTGGCTGATTGGATGGCTTTGCGTGGTGCTCGGAATCTTGTACTTAGCTCTAGATATGGAGTAACAAAAGACTATCAATCATACCGAATTGCGTAAGTTTTATAGAATTAACATATTTATCTTCACAACTTCAAAGCAAATTTGTGTCTATAGGCTATGGAAAACGTATGGCTGCCAAATCGCTGTTAGCACCGCAGATATAACTTCAAAAGATGGATGCCGTCAATTGCTTTCTGAAGCTGTTTTATTGGGACCAGTGGGTGGAATTTTTAATTTGGCAGTTGTGTTAAGGGATAGCTTTTTTTCCAACCAAAATTGTAATCAATTTTTGGAAAGTTTTGCACCAAAAGCTATTGCTACAAAACATCTTGACGAGATATCTCGGATTTCCTGTCCTGAATTGGAGCACTTCGTAGTATTTTCAAGTGTGTCTTGTGGGCGAGGAAATGTAGGCCAAACCAACTATGGAATGGCTAACTCTGTAATGGAACGTATCATTGAGTTTCGCAACAGAGACGGTTTGCCAGGTAAAGCTATTCAATGGGGTGCAGTTGGTGAAGTGGGTTTAGTGGCCGATATGGCAGAAGACAAAATTGATATGGAAATAGGAGGAACCCTTCAGCAAAGAATTTCATCTTGTATTCAGGAACTGGATCATTTACTAAGTGCTGAAGCATCGATAGTTTCCAGCATGGTTGTCGCTGAAAAAAAGACAGGTCGTTCTGGAAATGAAAGTATTATTGATGCTGTCATGAATATTATGGGAATACGGGACTTAAAGTCAGTTTCCTTAGGTACAACACTATCAGAAATGGGTATGGACTCATTGATGGCTGTTGAAATCAAGCAAACCCTAGAGCGGGACTTTGAGTTAATTTTATCTCCACAAGATTTACGTTCGCTCACTTTCCAAAAACTTCAAGAGTTCATTGAAGCCAAGGAAAAAGAGAATACTAATGAAATTAAAATGATATTTGCTTCAGAAAGTAAGCTTTTAGGAATGGATTTACTGATTCGAAACTTAGGCGATGAAACAAATTGTGATCGAATAATAATTCCACTCAAGACACCAGCAGCTCCTTCAAAACAGAGTCTTTCACCAAATATATTAATACCGGGATTAGAAGGAACAGCTGGCCGCGCATGGTACCAAATAGGCTCGGGCTTGCAAAGTAGGGCTATTGTCTTACAGCTCCATAAGTTCGCGCATTTGGAAAATTTAACTGATTTAGCGCAACAATGCTTTGAAGTAAGTAATTTTTTTGTTATATCGTGAAAGTAATTTTAGGATTGTCTTTTTCTTTACAGCATGTAAAACTTATTTTAAAGCAAACTGAACCTTTTTATGTGATTGGATATTCATATGGAACTTTTGTAGCTTTACAACTAGCTGAGTTGCTTGAAAATTCCGGGTTCCGAGGACATGTAATGTTGTTAGATGGAGCACCTCATTTTTTAAAAAGACTTACTAATCTGCATTTGGGAGAAAGCTTTTCGGATAACGACCTTTATGACCTGCTTTTCACTAGTATTGTAAATCAGATATTTCCCGAAGAAACTAAAGAATTAACATCTGAAGTTTTTCACAAAGTTGACACCCTGTCAGAAAAAATGTGTTTGTTCATGGACTATGTTGAAAAGCAAAACATATACAGCAAAGAATACGCTGTAACAATGATAGACGCTATGTTTAAAAGAGTTAAAATGGCCGCTTCCTTTGATTTGGATAGTATAAGAAAAATTAAATCACCAATTACACTAGTCCGTCCGACGGAGGTTTCACTGCAAGATATTGATGAAGACTATTGCATATCTTTACTGACATCTGGTAAAGTAACGCTCAAAGTTATTGAGGGAAATCATACGACTATGTTGGACAATCCATCATTAAGCCAGATCATAAATGACTTTGATCCAGCTCTGTTAGAAGACAAAAATTTTGAAGAATATATTAGAAATGACAAGCCGGTTTCAGTTGTGTAAACATTCATTCATAATATTCATTTCTAAAGCAAACAAAACACGCAATATATTATATATTAAATAAATATCCAATCAAATATTAAAAACCTTTTAATTTTATCAAATATTTAACAATTCCTTTCCTGATGGGATATTGTGTGCGCTTGTGGTATCTTCCCAAATTGGGGTTGTGTTTCACAAATTTGCTAACCTTTTTTTTTACCGATGTAAATTTTAGTAGGTAAGTATATTATTAAAACGCAAACATTTAAAATTTGAAGCCAATCTATTTTTTTCAAAGGCTCACATTTGATATGAAAATTATACCTGCTGAAGAATGTTTATTCTTTATATGTATAAATCACCTGCGAGTACCGGAGCATTTAAAAATTAAATCGCTGAGTTGCTTAAAACTCAAAATGCAAAAGTGAGGTGAAAACTGGAATATCTATAATCTTATTGTCCCAATGCACTAACTAGAAAATGGTTTAGTCCGGGCACTATTTTGTAAGATTTTATCTTATTTTATCATGGTAGTTCCATTTCGTATTCTTCCCCATATCGTGAAAGCAGAGTGTGATAATAAATACTCATGTAGAAACTCAGCTTAAAATATAATAGAATGGATATATGGCAGTGAAAATAAGTATATTATTCCGGCGAATTGCCAAGATCCCTGTGGATGTTTTAATTTAAGCAACCCCGTTGATTATTCGAGGAATTTGAAGATCGCTCTCTGTGATGTCTATTTTACTTCTGCCCGTGATCCACCAGATGCTATTAGAAGCCTGTCGGGTGGACATCGCTGTCTTGAAGGATCTGAGTAAGATTAATGGTTAGTGGAGGACACGATTGTCTGTAAAGACAACATAAATTGGGTAAATATACCATTCAATTAACGGCCGAGGACCGCGGGGTTGTCAGCGAATTTTGATGTTGTTATCTACTGTGTAAGGACAACGCTGTCCCTGTGGAAATCACCAATAAATTAGTCGTTAGATGTTGTTGCGTTACATATCACTACGAAGGGTCTGTCTATCTCTCATGTAATCTATTAATGTATTTAGGCAAAACCGTCTTGGTTTTATTCATAAGAGCCTCAAGTTAATTTCGATCGACTGTCCCGATGGTCAAATGCAGTTTTTATTTATAATTTTTGAGACCAAATTGTAATACAATGTAGTATTGTGTGCTTTTAAATATAATATTAAGTGCGCCAGAAGGCAGTTTTTGAACGGTTTGGGAAGACACGGGTTAAACTTCTTAAGCTGTACGCCGATCGATTTGATTCGCAAAGGAAGTGCCTTGTTCAAATATTGCTTATCACTCAAAATATATTGCACACATGGGGCCTCCATTACTGCAATATATGAAAGAAATTATCCCAAATCCTAAGACTAGAAGTATAAAGTGGTTAAGTACTAGTGTTCCCAAAAATGACTGGTATAAAGATCAAGGGAAAATGTGCTCTGCAGAGTATCATACCAACAATCTCTTAAACAGTGTACTTTTTAATGAAACATTTTCATTGCTACCTAAAAATTCCTTGACTATTGAAATCGCGCCTCATGGACTTTTAGGAGCTATTCTTAAACGATCAATGCCCAGTGGTGTACATATTCCACTAACAAACAGGGGTAATAAAAACAATACGTTGTTTTTCTTATCGGCTCTTGGAAAGTATGTATAGTTTAAGTCCTTGATCGTTAATTATTGTTATAGCTTTGTTTTATTGTAGAATTTATCAAAATGGTGTATTACTACCGGTCGCTGACCTATATGAAACCAATCAATTCCCTGTTTCGCGAGCAACGCCTAGTGTTAGCTCGCTTATTCGCTGGGATCATAGTGAAGACTGGTTCGTGACAAAATACGAGAATATGAAAACAAAGTCCAGTGGCGAGCGTGTTTTTCCAGTTAATTTGGCTAGTGATAATGAAGAATTTTTGAGTGGACATATTATAGATGGCAAAATTCTAGTGCCAGCTACATGTTATCTTTAATATGTTTGGGAAACATTTTCCCTTATGTACCATGGTCCGAGTTATATGGTACCCGTTGAATTCGAAGATATACGTTTCTTAAGAGCTACAAGTATGCCCGTTAATGGAAAAGTCGATTTAACTGTTATGATTCACTATGGCACCGGTCATTTTGAGGTAAGCCCATTTTAAAGTGGATTTAAGTTAAAAAAATTATTTATTGGTTTTTAGATAACGGAAGCAGGTAATTTAGTTGTCACCGGTATCATCCGTGAAACGGAAAACCCCACTATTCCAGAAGTTTATAAAAAAGACTTTTATAAAGAGTTAAGATTACGAGGCTATCATTACAATGGCGCATTTAAGGCCGTTCATATGGCCCGTTCAGATGGTTTATTCGGAAAAGTTGAGTGGAATTATAATTGGGTAACCTTCATGGATGCAATATTTAAAATTTAAATACTGGGAACAGATTCACGAAATCTTTTATTACCAACAAAAATTCGAAAATTGAAAATAAATGGAGTGCATCATTTCAACCTAATGACCAAAATGAATCCAGAGAATCGCTTTTTTGATGTCTATATAGATCAAATGTACGATCGGATCATAGCAGGTGGAATAGAACTTGTCGGATTACATGCCAGTCCAGTGCAAAGGCGAAGACCTCCGGGTATCCCAGTTCTTGAAGAATATGTATTTCTTCCCTTTTTCCGTCACCAATGCTTTCAATAAAAAATGCTGCTCGTATTTGCGTTCAAATCGCTCTTGAAAATAATCCTTCTTTAAAAATGAAGTTGGTAGAGGTTGATTCTAATGGAGAAAAACCACTGCTAACATCATTTTTAGAATCTATAGAAGATTTACCTGTCATTACTGGAGAGTACATTCTATTGACATCCCACAAACTGGATGACTTTCCAGGACTTCGTGTTGAAAACGGAAGCTTGTCTTGTCAATCAAATTGTCACTTTGTTTTATTAAAAGACCTTGATGAAGAACATTTACGAGATAATATTGAAGCTGCCCATAAGGTACTCGTTGACATTGGGTATATGTTGCTTAGACTAAAGTCTAAGACGAATCTTTCAGCATTGGAAGAATCGGAGCTATTCCGAACTATTACAATAATTCCGATCGATAACAAAGAGGATATATTTGTATTATTACAGAAAATTTCAAAAAAACTAACAGTACAACCAGTTTTGGTAAAGGTATATGAAATCGATGAGACTTTTGACTGAATTGCAGAATTACAATCTGCAATAAGCACGAAAACACCGGTTATTGTGTATTCATTTAACGAGAGCTTGTGCTTATAGGTTTAGTTACCTGTTTGCGAAAAGAGCCCGACGGTAATTTGATAAGATGTTTCTTTATTGATGATCAAAATGCTAGTTTTGATTTATCACACCCTCTATATTCGGCTCAGCTTGCATTGGGATTGGCGTTCAACATATATCGCAATGTAAGACTTATTTTGTATATATTCACCATTCATTTTTATATTTCACTTTTATTAATTAGGGTTCTTGGGGCAGCTATAGACATTTGCAATTGCTCAAAAGTGACAACCCAATGGCCAGATTGGATCACATATATAGAAACGTCATTCAACGTGGTGACTTATCGACTTTACAATGGCTAAAAGGACCTTTTCAAGCTAAAAGCTGCTTGATTAAAATATCATATTCTTCTCTAAATTTTAGAGATGTAATGCTCGCAACTGGACGCTTAGCCGTTGAATTATATGGATCAAGTCGAATAGATCAAAACTGTATTCTGGGCTTTGAATATTCCGGCATTAACATGGCAACTGGACGTCGGATAATGAGTATGGTGGTTAAAGGTGGCGTAGCCTCCTATGTGGAGAGGCCATCAAAACTAATTTGGGATATACCTGATCACTGGTCATTAGAAGAAGCAGCTACAGTGCCTGTGGTATACATAACTGTCTACTATGCATTCTTTATGACATGCGATATTCGAAAAGGGAAAAGCATTCTCATACATGCTGGTACCGGGGGCATTGGTCTGGCCGCTATTCGTGTGGCATTGGCCTATAACCTAGAAGTTTTTACAACTTGCAGCTCTCTTCAAAAAAAGAAATTTTTGTTAGAGACTTTTCCCCAACTTAAAGGTATATTAAACAAATTTTAAATAACATTTTAATTTATTTCAAATTACATTATATTACAAATTTCAGAATCGAACATTGGAAATTCTCGGGATACATCATTTGAGCTTATGGTGCAGCGTGAGACAAATGGAAAAGGTGTTGATTTTGTGTTGAATTCCTTATCAGAAGAAAAGTTGATTGCGTCAGTACCTTGTCTTGGTAAGTCCGTACACTTTTTGGAAATTGGAAAATTTGACATGGCTAACGACAAAAAGATTGGATTGGGATGCTTTTTAAAAGAAATTACTTTCCATGCTGTTCTTGCGGATAGTCTTCTTGTGGCTCCTGATGAAGATATTTGGGTAATAGGGTAGTATAATATCCTAAGAACAAATTAAATTTACAAATTTATTATCTGTTTATAGCATTTGAAAACCCTTATTGATTCAGATATTTCGAATGGAATTATTCAACCATTACCGGTTAAAGTGTTTTCGGCTCATGAAATCGAAAAGGCTTTTAGACATTTGATCGGTGGCAAGCACATTGGAAAAGTTGTTATTCAAGTTCGTGAACACCCGGATGATCCAGCTACTTTACCTGTACGGGTGCTTAGTCAAATTTACTTTAAGCATAATCTTACATATGTCATCATTGGTGGCTTGGGAGGCTTTGGAATGGAACTGGCTGATTGGATGGCTTTGCGTGGTGCTCGGAATCTTGTACTTAGCTCTAGATATGGAGTAACAAAAGACTATCAATCATACCGAATTGCGTAAGTTTTATAGAATTAACATATTTATCTTCACAACTTCAAAGCAAATTTGTGTCTATAGGCTATGGAAAACGTATGGCTGCCAAATCGCTGTTAGCACCGCAGATATAACTTCAAAAGATGGATGCCGTCAACTGCTTTCTGAAGCTGTTTTATTGGGACCAGTGGGTGGAATTTTTAATTTGGGAGTTGTGTTAAGGGATAGCTTTTTTTCCAACCAAAATTGTAATCAATTTTTGGAAAGTTTTGCACCAAAAGCTATTGCTACAAAACATCTTGACGAGATATCTCAAGTGCGAGGAAATGTAGGCCAAACCAACTATGGAATGGCTAACTCTGTAATGGAACGTATCATTGAGTATCGCAACAGAGACGGTTTGCCAGGTAAAGCTATTCAATGGGGTGCAGTTTGTGAAGTGGGTTTAGTGGCCGATATGGCAGAAGACAAAATTGATATGGAAATAGGAGGAACCCTTCAGCAAAGAATTTCATCTTGTATTCAGGAACTGGATCATTTACTAAGTGCTGAAGCATCGATAGTTTCCAGCATGGTTGTCGCTGAAAAAAAGACAGGTCGTTCTGGAAATGAAAGTATTATTGATGCTGTCATGAATATTATGGGAATACGGGACTTAAAGTCAGTTTCCTTAGGTACAACACTATCAGAAATAAGTATGGACTCATTGATGGCTGTTGAAATCAAGCAAACCCTAGAGCGGCACTTTGAGTTAATTTTATCTCCACAAGATTTACGTTTGCTCACTTTCCAAAAACTTCAAGAGTTCATTGAGGCCAAGGAAAAAGAGAATACTAATGAAATTAAAATGATATTTGCTTCAGATAGTAAGCTTTTAGGAATGGATTCACTGATTCGAAACTTAGGCGATGAAACAAATTGTGATCGAATAATAATTCCACTCAAGACCCCAGCAGCTCCTTCAAAACAGAGTCTTTTACCAAATATATTAATACCGGAATTAGAAGGAACAGCTGGCCGCGCATGGTACCAAATAGGCTCGGGCTTGCAAAGTAGGGCTATTGTCTTACAGCTCCATTAGTTCGCGCATTTGGAAAATTTAACTGATTTAGCGCAACAATGCTTTGAAGTAACTAATTTTTTTGTTATATCGTGAAAGTAATTTTAGGATTGTCTTTTTCTTTACAGCATGTAAAACTTATTTTAAAGCAAACTGAACCTTTTTATGTGATTGGATATTCATATGGAACTTTTGTAGCTTTACAACTAGCTGAGTTGCTTGAAAATTCCGGGTTCCGAGGACATGTAATGTTGTTAGATGGAGCACCTCATTTTTTAAAAAGTCTTACTAATCTGCATTTGGGAGAAAGCTTTTCGGATAACGACCTTTATGACCTGCTTTTCACTAGTATTGTAAATCAGATATTTCCCGAAGAAACTAAAGAATTAACATCTGAAGTTTTTCACAAAGTTGACACCCTGTCAGAAAAAATGTGTTTGTTCATGGACTATGTTGAAAACCAAAACATATACAGCAAAGAATACTCTGTAACAATGATAGACGCTATGGTTAAAAGAGTTAAAATGGCCGCTTCCTTTGATTTGGATAGTATAAGAAAAATTAAATCACCAATTACACTAGTCCGTCCGGCGGAGGTTTCACTGCAAGATATTGATGAAGACTATTGCATATCTTTACTGACATCTGGTAAAGTAACGCTCAAAGTTATTGAGGGAAATCATACGACTATGTTGGACAATCCATCATTAAGCCAGATCATAAATGACTTTGATCCAGCTCTGTTAGAAGACAAAAATTTTGAAGAATATATTAGTGTTGTAATTTAGCTTGAGTAGTGAATAATAGTTTTATTTAGGATAATTGATACAGAGATTAAGTTTTACACATTCGTTGGCGATAGTGGTGGACAGAAGAAGGGGGGAGACAAGTTACATTATATGATGACTTTATCGTACTATCGATAGTTCGGTTTGTATATCAATACGGTGCCAATTGCATTTCCAATACTTCCCCTCAATTGGTAGGGCGTTGATCGACTGGACGTATACCCAAGGCTGTCTTGCAGGTATTGTGTTTTGAAGCACAGAGTCCTTTTGTCAATATGTCCGCTGGCATCTCGGTCGTTGGAATATAGCTTACTGAAATAGTTCCTTCTTCAACCAGCTCTCGGATGAAGTGGTGGCGGATGTCAACATGCTTGGTGCGTTTGTGAAACACGGGGTTGCGTGTAAGTTGGCCAGCTCCTTGATTGTCATTGTAGATGATGGTCGTCTTCAGTTGGCCCAAAACTTCTTGTAGAAAGCTTCTAAGATGAACAGCTTCCTTTGAGGAGTCAGACAGAGCCATATACTCTGCTTCTGTGCTTGACAATGCAACCGTCCGTTGCTTTCGGCATTCCCAGGATATTGCTGCACCTGCGAACTTAAAAGCAAAACCTGAAAAAGATCTGCGATCATCAATGTTGGCGGCCCAATCAGCATCGGCGTAGCCTACAATGTCTTTGCCACTTCGTTTGTAAACCAGGCAATAGTTCTGAGTGCCTTTTAAGTAACGTAATACCCTTTTCGCAGCAATCCAATGTTGTTTTCCAAAGTTTGTATTGTATTGACTCAGTGCACTCACTGCAAATGCAATATCAGGGCGCGTTGATACTGCCAACCACATTAGGGCTCCTACTAAACTCTGATACGGCACGTTGGAAACATCTTCTTTCTCGTCTTCGGTTTTTGGACACATTTCAGTTGACAATTTCTCATTCGTGTTGATTGGTGTATTTACGGGCTTACAATTCTCCATATTGAACCGTTTGAGAATATCTGCGATATATTTTGGCTGACCCATGGTAAACTCTGTTTTATCTTTGTTTTGTTTAAACTCGATGCCCAAGCAATACGATAGCTTACCCAAATCTTTCATCTGGAACTTGTTGGACAATTCGCGCTTCAATTGTAAGAGCATTTGGGTGTTATTGGTCGCAATTATGAGGTCGTCTACATAAAGCGATACGATCAGGATTCCGTTTTGTTCATTTTTCAAGTACACGCATTTGTCAGCGGCGAGGGGCTTAAGGTTCAGTTCTTTTAGTTTACTATCTAGCTTTTTGTACCACTGGCGTCCACTCTGCTTTAGGCCATATAGAGCCTTTTTTAGCTTACACACTTTTTCAGGTCCATACATTTGTTTTTCTTTAGCTGTCAAGATTTCTTGGAATTCAGGTGGGACGCTGATGTAAAGTTCTTCCTCAATATCTCCATTCAAATAGGCACTGTTAAAGTCGAATTGATGAAGATCCAGTCCGAGTTCCGCAGCTAAAGCTATTACAATTCGAATCGAGCTCATTCTGGAAACTGGGGAGAATGTCTCATCGTAGTCAATGCCTTCGCGTTGGGTGAATCCTTTAGCAACCAGGCGAGCTTTACGGCAATTTACCCTTCCGTCAGGTAAGTATTTTGTTCGAAGTACCCATTTCGTTTCGATAACCCTATGGTTCTTCTGCCGATCAACAACTTCCCAGGTATTGTTCATTTTCAATGACCTGTACTCGTTTATAAGCGCCTCCTTCCATTCAATGGCATTTGTACCTTTAAGTGCTGCGCTCGCAGTTAGTTCCTTTGGGTTCGTTGCAAGTGAAGTGGCTTCGTAGAACACATCTTCTGAGTCGGACTCAAAATGCTGATTGGGTGTGTCGATCTGGTCTGCAAGTATTTGATTGTAAATTAATCTGGGTCTTCCTGGTTTACCTGTTAACAGCTTCCTTGGTCTTCCACGGCCACGTTTTACTGGCTGTCTATCGTCTGGCTCATTGTCCTCTGACTCAGGATTTTCTGGTTGGATGCTTTCGTTGTCATCTTGGTCATTTTCTGGTTGATTGTCTGCTACCGGCTCAATGTTGACATCGATCTGAGGTTCAATGAACTCTTCGAACTTATACTCGTGCTCAAATAGATTTGTGAAAACGACGTCTCGGCTTTTAATTAATATTTGGTTTTTGACATCGTACAGTCTATAAGCTTTGGCATCGGTGCAGTATCCAACGAATACGCATTTCTTGGATTTTGGGCTGAACTTACTCTTCGATCGCTTGTCCAGTGAATATGCAATTTGACCAAATTTTTGCATATGCCTTACAATTGGGATGCGATTGTTCCACAGCTTAAAGGGCGTTTCTCCACATAGGCTCCTTGAAGGACATCTGTTTCTTATATAGTTTGCTGTGTTTACTGCTTCAGCCCAGTAGCTCGCAGGAAGTGCGGCCTGCAACATCAGGCAGCGAGCCATTTCAACAAGGGTCCGGTTCTTACGTTCGGCTGTACCATTTTGTTGAGGAGTATATTCTACGGAATACTCGTGCTTTATTCCCTGGGCTGCAAGATAACTTTTGAACTCATTATTAGTGTATTCTGTACCGTTATCTGACCTGATTGTTTTTATCTTCTTTCCAGTTCGCCGTTCAACATAGTTTTTGAATTCCTTAAATTTCTGGAACACTTCAGACTTTCTTTTAATAGTGTAGAGCTCGCACCATTTTGAGAAATCATCGATGAATGTCAAAAAGTAGCGGCTGCCGCCGTGGCTATTTACACGCATGGGACCGCATACGTCGCTGTGGATAAGTTCTAGTACGTCTCTTGCCCTTGAATTTGATACAGGGAACGGCTTCTGGGACTGCTTCCCCTTGATACATACTTCGCAAATTGGAAGAGTCTCCTTGAAGTTTACTTTGGCTCCTTGTACTTTACCTTTTCTTATTAGTTCTTTTAGGTCCGGCTCATTAAGATGGCCGAAACGTTCATGCCATTCTTTGATGCTGTTTTGCTTACCTGCAGCGATCTGGCTGCATTCGTGTTTTTCTTCTATCTGGTATAAGTCCAATTTGCGAGGAGCGGTGAACACTATTTCTCCTCCTGTAGCTCTAATTATTTCAGCTTTCTCCTTCCTGAAAACAATATTGAAACCGTGATCACATATTTTTGAGACCGATAAGAGATTGGTCCTTAAATCTGGCACATAGAGTGTGTTCTTCAGGCTGGCGGTGAACTTGTTGTTTGGCGAGAACTGCACGGGTCCATATCCTTTTATGTCTGTAGCCTCATCATTTGCCAGTTTGAGCTTCGGGCCTTCTGCAGGCTCAAAATTTACGAACATATTTTGTTGTGAGCACATGTGAGACGTTGCTCCAGAGTCTAGACACCAGTTACTGCAATCACTGCTTGTATGATAGGCTGCGTTGATGTACATGCTATCATCCTGGTTCTTTATTGGCTTCGACCTGCACTCAGCTGCACGGTGACCGACTTTTCCGCAGTTGTAGCATTTAAACTTAAACTTTTGATTAGTGCTTAATTCTTTCGGTTTGCTTTTATTATACTTCTTGTGTGCCAATAATGCTCCAGGCGTCGACTCGCTTTGATTTCTGTTTCTCGCCTCGTATTCGTCTAATAACTTTATTTTAAGTGCCTCCGTTGATATTAAGTTTTCCTGCGTTTCAATCGCGATTCGAAACTGTTCATATTCCTCAGGGATACTGTACAGTAGCAAAATGGTTAACAGATCGTCAGTATTCATGAGATCAACTTCATTTATTTTGTCTACTAAATTGGAAAACATATCTATGTGGCTTCTCATGTCTCCGCCTGCATTCATTTTTAGTAAGATCAGGGATTTCAACAGTGCGGCTTTACGGGCTGGCCCCGTAGACTGGTAAGTGCTATGCAGCTTCTTCCATACATCGTTTGAAGTTTCGCAGTTTTTTGTATGCCTTAGTTCCGATGTTGACATGGCCAAAATGAGATCGGACTTAGCCTTTGCATCTTCGTTTATCCACAGCGCGCTGTTTGTTTCGGGTTTTAAATGAGTCCCGTTTACATATTTCCACGAGTCGTTCTTGACTAACAAAGCCTGCATTTGTATTTTCCAGGTGTCGAAATTATCTTTGCCCAAGGGCTCTATGCGTATACTAGCAATACTCATTTTTCTTTATAATTTGCGTTTAGTTTTGCTACACAAGCAACTATTTCACGAAGCTACACAAGCAACGAACACTCTTCTTTTCTCTATCAACAATTTGACGTCTTCTGTTGCGTTTAGTTTTGCTACACAAGCTAACTTTTTTTTTTTTTTTTTTTTTTTACGGAGCTACACAAGCATCGAACACGCTTCTTTTCTCGATCGCCAATAAGACTCCTTCAGTCTCGTCCCCAGAAGTCTCAAATTCTTGCACATGCATATGTATGTGCGCGTCGGCAATTTCACCACAAAATGAAATTTGGCATTTAATCTCACTGGTTGTTCAATATCTTCTGCTAACTATTTTCTGGCTCAGTGGAAGGGTGCTGCGGCCCATAACCTGTTGTAATTTAGCTTGAGTAGTGAATAATAGTTTTATTTAGGATAATTGATACAGAGATTAAGTTTTACACATTCGTTGGCGATAGTGGTGGACAGAAGAAGGGGGGAGACAAGTTACATTATATGATGACTTTATCGTACTATCGATAGTTCGGTTTGTATATCAATACGGTGCCAATTGCATTTCCAATAATTAGAAATGACAAACCGGTTTCAGTTGTGTAAACATTCATTCATAATATTTCTTTCTTAAGCATAACAAAACACGCAATATATTATATATTAAATAAATATCCAATCAAATATACAAAACCTTTTAATTTTATCAAATATTTAACAATTCCTTTCCTGTTGTGATATTGTGTGCGCTTGTGGTTTCTTCCCAAATTAGGGTTGTGTTTCACAAATTTGCTAACCTTTTTTTTTACCGATGTAAATTTTAGTAGGTAAGTATATTATTAAAACGCAAACATTTAAAATTTGAAGCCAATCT